ACAAAGATTTTACTTGCTCTTAGAACCCTTATTGTAGAAATTTCTAGCTTTTCTCCCTAAGTGGTGGAAGACCATAATGGTTCCATCTTAAAGGTAAGGAGCAATGACTAGGAAGCACCCTTGGCTTACTTCCTGGGGGCCCCAGCCACTCACTCAACTTTCCTACTGCTCTTTGTGGGGGCTGTTGTTCTTTAGCATCTTGGCTCTGCTTAGACTATTTCAAACTAATTGAAACAGTGTAAAGACTGATGTTTTCATTTTTGCTCATATCAGTGTGAAATGGAATCTTTCATAGTGATAGTGATGAAAATGTAACACCAAAACAAGTTGCACATGACATCCCTTCTGCATGGGTGTAAATACAAATGCATTAAGTACATATAGTGCAACCAAATTAAAAGAAAATTTGTACTAAGGAAATGTAATATAGATTGTATTATAAAGTAAAATTTAATGCTGTTAATGTTTCAGTATTTACATAAACTATAAATATAACCTTCAAAATTATCGCTGGTTAACAAGCAGTGTTTCTTGGTAAGAGTTTTCATTTGTTCTGACATTATGAACTTCCTACAGTTTTGGTGTTGAAGTATCCTTTCCTTTCTGAAATGATGGAAATGGTAGATTTTTGTTATTGTTGTTGTTGGCAAAATGGATGTTTTGGCAACTCTGTGTTAGCTCTCTCGATTGCTTTGGGAAGTTTCATTGTCCTGAAAAATTTAAGTCTGGGAGCCACTAGCCTTAGAATGCTATCATTCTAAAATATAGGATTAAATAGACCAAAATAAAAAGGATTCTATGTAAAGTAGGAACTCAGAAAATTTGGATGGTTTCATTAATTTCTGTTTCACATAATCATGGTATAAAATGTCACTATCCTCTACCTCAATAGTAGTTTATTAACACCAAATCTGAAAAGAACTGAAATGGTACAAACCAGAATGTAGTATAGCTGCATAGTATCATCTGTCACAATTCTTTAAAGTATGTATTTTTCACTGATTATTATAAAGTGGTCAATTTTTTACTATATTGTATTTGATGTATTATAAAGTGGTGTTTTGTATTACGGTTGCTTTCATTTATGTGTGTGTGTGTTTGAGAGTTTTGCTCTTGCTGTCACATGAATCTTACACAATAGTGAAGACTGCAAAATATACTTTATAATGATTGGAGTGGTTTCTTATGTTTGTATCAAAGAAACTAAGGTGATGACAAATATGGAAATGTGCTTATGAGGTTAGTCATTCCCCACCCCCCCTTTACATTATATAATATAAGTGATAGAGTCATTCCATGAAAACTGACAATAATCTCAGGAATTCTGTATCCTACTTGGGACATTTTGAGCATGGGTGTAGTTTTGCTCTGCCTCACTGCTCAAAGACTAAGTGATGCTGAGTTCTTGTTTGCGGAGTCGAAGAATGAACTTAGCAAAGACCCAAGGTGGGAGAGCCAGGGAGAGGCTTTTATTGAGAGATACAGTGAGAGGACAGAGCTTCTGGCTCATGCCAGGAGAGGACAAGAGAGTCCGGGGTAATGCATTTCTGGGGGTTTTATAGGTAGTTGAGGATTTTGGGGAATGTGAAAAAAAGCTTAGGGGTGTAGACTTGTTAAGTGGTCCCTAAATATTTAGAATCAACACAAGGAACTTCCTGCTCTGGTTTCACCCTGAGATACCAGCATCTTGGTCTGAGAGCATATCAAACAAGGCTGCCTGCCCAGCCCCCAAGGTGGGCTGAGGTATTGTTTGCTAAAGAGTAAGTTAGGAATCTTACTCTTAACTTCCTGGGTGTTAAAATGCAATCTTATCTTTAAGATGGAATCCTTTCTGCCTTTCACTATGTTTATAGCTGGGCCTGCATGCTAAATAAGTGACCCAGTTTGCAAATGACCTCACCAGGTCTGAAAGAGGAAAGCCAGCACATAGGCCTGGGCCTTTTAGCATGCTAAAGTAAATCTTACACATGATTACAAATGATTAGCATAATAAAAACATGTGCTACTCTTCTTTATCTGGAGAATATTAACTGATCTCACTGAAGAATGACTCTAGAGCTGAATGTTTAACAGAGTTTTGGTAGGGGGTTTTCTTGCATGTAGTTACATTGCTCTGACTGTAAATATCCTGCCTTGCTTTTTCCAGAGGCCCTCACCCTATCCTGTCTAAGCCCATGGTCCCTGTCTCATAAGGATTAAAAAAATAAAGCACTGGTTGGATTCTCCCTTCATTTCAGTTCATGCCCCAATTCAAATGAATCTCATTTTGCCTCCCTTGAAAGGTGACCCTGTACTTCATTCCATCTCACCTCCATTCCAATGCGCTGAAGCAGGAAAACACAATTTTCATGACAGCTACAGTTTCAGAATGAGACCATTTGCAGAGGCTGAGTGGTTCACCCATAGCAGGTAGCTTTAAAGTTCTATATTAGTCTTATTTAGTAGCAAAGCTAGAAAAGGTAACGTGTGTTTTCCTGCCCAACTCAGAGACTGAAATGCATAGTGGCGTGCCCTATATAGTATTTGAAAATTCATTCCCCTTTGGATTATGCGGGGATTCCAAAACATACTTGGACTATGGTTTTCACTGTTGATATTTAGAAACAATTTGACAGTGGCTCCTTAGATAACAATGTGTTCAGTTATCACAATTTAAGTACAATTTCATTTTTATTACAAATAAGTAGATGAAAAGATGTCACATCTTAATTTGGGGTGGAAACAGAAAGCAAATTTTATCAGGAAACAGAAGGCAAATTCTTTATCAGTGTCAACTACTTTGAAATATGGACACATCTTTTGGAGAGTTCTTTGTAGAAAATAGTGAATTAGGAAATAGGGAAATATCGGTGAGGTCAGACCGATATTTCCCGATATAAAAAAGAAGCCAAGGATCTCAATGATGATGAATACATGAAAATGGAGCATCAAGGTCATTTGGAGAAGGCAGGTTGAGTTTGGAGATGGGAAATAAGAAAAATAATGACACCAAATTCGCAAACATCTTAACCTAAAACTTTGTATAGATATTAAATTCTTGCTAAAGAAGAGAAGAGGTGAATGTTGTTATCAAGAAAGAGGCGTTAGCAGAGTCACAAATTTTATTTATTCTTCCATTGTGAAGGACACACATTTGTTAGTGTAAGATCTGCCTTATGCAATTTCACTGTGGAAAAAATAATATTGACCAAGCCTCCAATCCTGCCTGACATGAAATTAATACAAGTGTCATGGAATTTTTCAGCTCAGAAAGTACTTTTGGATGAGCTTTAAAAGCCTTAAATGACTTGTGCCCTTCATACTAGTTATTATCTAAAGAAGTAACGATAAACATGATACGGATAGAAAGTTTAAATAATTACACTGGACAATAGCACCAGTGGGGTCCTAGCTAATGAACTTGCTGATTCTCTTTTCTGCATTTGCCTGGAAGTCTAAATCCTTTGAAGTGGGCGACACTCTGTGCATGACAGTCGCCTGCAGTCTGGCTCCCAGATGGGAAATTGAGATGGAGAAAGGATCCTTGACGACACAAAGCAGAGCCACTTGGTGATAAAGCCAAATTCAGCAGGAAGAAAGACCATAAACATTCTGAAAATAGAAATCGAGGGCCCTATGCAGGGGAGCAGCCTTCTGCCAGAGACCAGTAGAGCCTCAGAGGAGGGTGGGCCGCCCCGAGCAACTCAAATCACACCAACGTGCAGAACCCAGAGCAGACAGAACTGTAACTCTGAAAGGCTTTTTGTCTGCTGATCATCAGCTTGGTGAGAATGAACTGTTAACTTATAACAGAAACTCACAGAGTATGATTTGTAACTTGTGACATAGCCAGGAACTTAATTCCAAACCCCAGAGAGAGGGTGCGAGATAGGCCAGGGCCTTAGGCTCCAGGTGCTGGCGGCCTACGTCTGGTTATCAGGGCAGAGGAATCACTGGGTGAGTCTTTGTAAATCGTGTCGAAGATTTTGGGTTTTAGCATCGGGAAATCATTTCAAAAACAGCACTTGAAACAGAAAGGTGTGTTCAAATTTGTATTTGAAAAACTTGGGTGACTCTTGCCTCTGTCTCTTACTAGTTGTGTGAGTTTGGCTGGTGATTTGCCCTGTTCGTGCCTTGGATTCTTGACCTGGAAAAGTGACCCTCACTTGCCTCTTACTGCAGTTACTAGTATGCAGTGAGATAAGGCCTCAAAGCACCCCAAACCATGCCTGGGGCTCAGCAGGCACTCAGTAGATGCTCACAGTATTCAGCTCTACACTCTCCATACAATGGCCAGTGGTCACAGCAAGTGGGAAGGGAAAAAGAACAAGAGCCAAAGGGGAACAGAAGGATTGGTGATAGAGAAGAAGAGGTGGGGGAAGACGTGGGGAAGAGAGTTCTCCAGACTTGGTGACAGGAGGAGCTGCAGAGGGGCAGATGCTCTGGGGTTTGAACTTGGACTTCAGAGAACTCTTACCTTCTATCTCTGGCCCTTTGAAATGCTGAGTCATGCATTAGCAGCCTTGCTCTTCAGCGCTGATCAACTTTGAGCAGCTCCACTTTAAATTGAGCTGTTTTCTTGGAATATCAAATACTCAGCTCTTCTCTTGTTAAGGTCTAGGACTCCGGGGTTTCCCAGAGAACAAGACACACGGACATGGAGATGAAAATCCAAGCAAAGTCTTTATTCAGCCAGCAAGCTGTAGTCGACAGCACCTCCCCTGACACACAGGCAGAGTCCGAGCTGCCGACCCCGAAGCAACTTTGGGTATTGATTATATAGGATCTTCACAGCAGTTACATCAAAGCCAGCGCAGTTCTACAACACACACTCTATATTGTAACCAATGGGAAACATTGTAACCTTTTTAGGGAACGCGCCAGTTGCCTGCCCGCTTCAACTGTTATCTCTTGCTTACCCAAGCATGTCTATGTGACTTATCACTGGTTACATCCCCAGGCGTTCCCTGGCTGTTGCCCACTTCTAGTTATCTAACTTAGGGTAGGCGCATTTCTCAGAAGCCTCGGGTAATTTACGCAAGAAAAGACTGGGTGGCTCTCGCTCTAGGCAGTCAGGTTAAGTGTCATTAGTTCTTTTTCCTGACTTGATGCTCTCTATACTCCGTTACACTCTGAACCAGAACAGTGCTCACAGCAAACTCTTGTGGATGAAAGACTCCATTTGGCCCAAGAAGTTTGCTGAAACCTGGGCCCAACCTAAGTCTACTTCCCACTGTTGCTCCCTGATCCCCCAACCTGAAGAATGCTTAAACTATTCCAGTGATTCACATCAAGTCCTGTCTCCCTCCTGTGGCCATCAGGCGCTTCCAGTCCAGCCTCTGCCTGTGCTTCCGGGTCGTCTCGGTGCTCCTGGCCTCGTTTCCTGCTCTCACAGCAACACCAACTGACGGGTAGCTTCCATTCTTTCTCCCTGCACACCAAGTGCATCTTCTAACCTGTGCTTTTGCTCTTAGTGTCCCCTGCCCACCTTGTTTGCCCATTCTGGCCCCTTTGACTCCTACTCCCACTTTCCTCCACCAGGAAAGCTTCTCTGATGCCTTGATGGGGGGAAGCACCCACTCCCTAAGTTGTGTCCCCCACACATCACACAGGAGTTCTGGGCCGCTCCTGTTGACTCTGAGCTATTGGCATCCATTGTGTTCAGTGCCTGGCTTATAGTGAGTGGGCCCTTTGCCCTGCAGTAGAGCTCACCTTCTGTCTCCGGGCCTATTGCTGTCCTTGGGGTAAGTTTTCTTCATTTTCCGAATTACTGAAATTCTTGCCTTCTGTATTATGTGCCTTCTATACTGCTGTTTATTTTACCATCTGTAAGTTAGATCTTCCCTATAAATGGAACATTGGACAATAGTTTATATATCTCTTTATCCCAATAATTTTAATTTAATGTCTAACCTATGGATTTGCTGATAAACAGTTGCCATGATGAAGATGCCAATTTCTTGACTCTGGTTTCCGTCTGCCACCCACGAAATCCCACTCATCCTTAAGGTCTTCTTCTGTGGATCCCTGCAGTGTTTACTGCTTTTATTTTCCTTTGGAATCACTCAGTGTTGTTTACCTTTACTTAGCTGCTCTGTGTATGCACATCTTGTGTCTCATGCAACTTGTTGGTTTGGTTTCTTTTTTAACAAAACTGGGTCTGTTTCTCATCTTTTGTAACACTTCCCACCCCTAATAAGTAAAGTCTTCTTCCTTGTTGATCTCATCAGGTTGAGTTGAGCAGGAAAGGCAGTGCTGTAAGGGCGTGCATGGGCCTTGTGTACGCACACTTGGGGGAATGTGGCGTGTGGGTCTGGTTGATGGGGGCAATCAGGAGAAAGGGAAACAGAAGGGGCTTCGTAGAGAATGCTATTTCAGGGTCAGTGGCGTAAATAATTGCTGTATTCATTGCATTAATGAAAATACTGAAAACAGTTCGGGCAAGTGGAGTGAGACAGACCAAGGTAAAAAAGACACCACCATGAGCCTGGCAGAGAAGGCAGTGGTGCCCAGGGGCTGGAGCTTGGGCTCTGGCGCTCCAGCAACCTGGGCTCCAATCTTGCTCCCCATTCCCGAGGGACTTGGGCAAGTGACGTGGTCCTTCCAAGCCTCCTGCCCTCCCTTGGGCAGCAGGACTGAGAGGACCTTCACAGAGGGTTACTGGGGCGATTCAGTGATTGAACGCATGTAGGACACTTACTTCAAAGTCTGGGACAAATTAGCTCTTAATGATGATGATTAATGATGAAAATACGGATAAGGATGCAGGACTCTGAGGGAAAAATTAGCATTGGTTCACAATTATAGAGGCAGGAGGCTTTTCGTGGGACCAAGAAAGGATATGAATAAAACTGGATGTGATGGGGAAAATAATAAAAAGTGAAGAGCTGCCCGCAGTGGAGAGAGCACCTGGGGAGAGGGGTCAAGGGAAGGAAGATCAAAGTGTGAAGGAGAAGGTGGGTGGATCAGAAAGGAGTATGAAGAGAAGGGAGATGCAACAAGCGAGGGTCTGGGAAAATCCCTGCATACCCTGAGCCACCCTTCCATTCATCCGGGAGCTACTGACCGTGCTTCGTCCTTTGTCAGGAGGCACAACCCGAGCAGATCCACTGGGAGGTGACCCAGCGCAGACATGCTGCATGGGAGAACTGGGACAGAGAGCTACAGAGACAGGAGAAACCCCAAAGTTTACTTAGGAAGTCACCTGGCTCCACCCTCTTATCTTCAAATCTATGTTCAGCATACATATAATAATCCTAGTCCAGCAATTTCCTGACCAATGCCCAAGGAAATACCATGTGGACACCACCTCACATTCTTCATATCCAAAGCAAAGCTCATTATCAGATCTCCAACATTCTTGGGCCCCACTCCTTTGCCTGTCTTGGTTAATGGGGCTGATTCTCCTGAAGTCTAGACCAGAAAAGTTATCTCCATCTTCTATCTCTTCTCTCTCATATTTTGGCATCTAATTAATTGGCATCTAATAAATCTCATATTTTTCTCTCTCACTGCTGCCACCTTAGTCTAGGCCCTCATTTATCTAGAATTTCAAATCTGGAGGAGACTTCCTTTTACAAAGCCTCAGAGTGGTTAAGTGACTTGCCCAAAGTCACACAGGCAGTCACACTGGGCCAGTCAGACCAATAAACAGGCCTATGGGTCAGTCAATGTTTCTTTTAATCCGTGATGTTTGAGGTGCATAAAGATATCCAAACAGCAAAACTGAGTCAGTAAACTTCAGAGTCTCTAAGCACAAGCTCGTGACTTTAACTTGTGCCTCTCAGCAAACGTCCATCAAATCCAGCCTCCGTCCTAAATCGTTTCCTAAACTTAGTTTTACACTTCCTACAGCCTGCTCGACATCTTCCATAAAGTGTCCAGCTAACACTCAAAACTCAGTGTCTAAATAGAAACTCCTCATTTTCCTCCTCCTCATCCAGAAAGGTAGAGTTGTAGTGATGAATTCAAGATCATGATCTTGATGGTAATGTCACCTCTGCCATTTACTAAATTAACCCCAGGAAGCCTCACCTTCTTTAGTTGTAAAATGGAAATAACAATAGTACTTACTTAACAGAGCTGTCGGTAAAGGTGAGAGACATGATGATTATATTGAGCACTTAGCACAGTAGCCGTCCTACAGTGATGCCTCAACACTGTGGGTAAAAGCTCCCAGTGAGGAAGGTCGACATGATCTGCGGCTCTTCTTTCTGGCTCCCCTCACCCCCTCGCTGCTGAGTCCTGGTGGCCCCCCCTGCAGGGTCACTTGCTTTCAGCTACTCCTCCCAATTCTTATTGCCAGAGAGGAGAGATCCTTGGCCAATCATTTATGGATCTGCAAGTAATCATACCTTGACTGTTACAAAAATAACTTTCTTCTCTGCGCATTTTCCCCCTGCCTTCCTCCACTTGGCTCTGGAAGGACTTGGGTTGCTCAGGGGGATGTCATGTGGGTTGTATTTCTTTTGAATAGCTGACCGTGTAGCACAGTAAGTCTCTGCACATGATCAAATGAGTCATGTTAGCTCTTCTGCGAGTTTTCATCCACTGCAGCATGAACAGTCACGTTTTTTTAAAATTTTTTATTAAGGTATTATTGATATACACTCTTATGAAGGTCTTACATGAAAAAACAATGTGGTTACTACACTTACTCATATTATCAAGTCCCCACCCATACCCCAGTGCAGTCACTATCCATCAGTGTAGCAAGTTGCCAGAGATCCATTATGTCCCTTCTCTGTGATACACTGATGAACATCCATGTTCAATTTGTTGCCTTATTTAACACCATCTCCTGCTTTCAGCCAAAAAGAAAGAAAAGGAAAACTGTCGGTGGAAAACCAGTTAGCCAAATCTGCTTTGCGTTTCCCAACCCCATGTTACATGCCAATTGTTTCATTATAGGTTGTTTATTCACAGGGAAGCTGCTGGTGTCTAAGAGGTAAGGCATTCAGAATATTGTTTAGACAATGGATTCGCAGTACCTAGAATCCCTGTGACTCAGTTTTTCACAAATGTGCTGTTAAGGGAAATGCTCACAAATGAGCAACTGTGCACTTTTGTGGGCAGCTCACACATTGTTGATGTGCACAATTCCCAACTGCAAGCAGTTTCCCCAGGGGAAACAATGAAAACAGAATCACAGCACTGAACTTGGGCAGGAAATTTTAAGCGGTAACTTAATCTGCCTCTTTGTTTTGGCCACAACCCTGCTTTAAACTATTTTGAATAAATAAAAATCCATGTTAATTTAATGGGTCTTCATCAGTAACTGTCTTCAAATATTCCCATCCTCCAAATTAGGGAGTAATTCTTTCTGTCTGGAGCAGACAATATAGTTGCCTAGCCAAGAGCCTTTATCCACTTTCTCTCAACTGGTAAAGAGCCAGTTTAAAGGGGTTACCTCTCCCTACCTTGTGGGTCTCAGGATTAAGTTCTGATCAGTCTGAGATTGCCAGTGATTGGCTTGGAAGGGGCAGGTGACCTAGTTTAGGCAATAAATTGTAATGAGAGGTCAGCTGGAGGGTCCAAAAAGACTTATAGGAAAACAGACCTTATATGTGAATGGGGGGCATACTTGGAGCTATGGGAGCTCCCCTGCATTCACGAAGGGAGCCAGCCAATGTCAAGTCCAAATAGTGATGGCAGAGCAGAGATATGGAAAGAATCTGGGCCTTTGATAATATAATTGAGCTGCTGAATCAACCAACCTGAAGCCAACCTACCCCAGGATTTCTTGTATGTTGGATAGTAAAATATTCCTTATTGTTTATATATTGGTGACTATAAGTTGGTGGCTTTGTTATCCAGAATTTTGCTGGAGACTGACATTCAAATCTCCATATCCAGATAAAAGTCACTCCAGAGTATGGAACAATACTCATATGCAAGCGTTTAGGAAAAGGAATGGTAGACAGTAGGCTCTACTTTGGATTCCCTAAGACCAAGTGCGCAAGGCTAAAATACTTCCTTTTTTGATAGAACTGGTAGATTGCATGATCAGAGAAAGCCATGGACATCAAATATTTGATTTCAGCGAACATCAGGTAAATTTGCTTATATTACTTTGGTCAATTAGATGGGAAATATTGGGGAGAAGATACAGATGTTGAAGAAAAACAAGATGCTGGAGGAAGATAAGACTGGTCGGCTGGACATGGTGTTTGAGAGTTACTGCGACAGATACAGGCGAGCAATTGGCATGGAGGACGCTGACAAGTGTCTAATATAAATGATGAGGCATACTAAAATATGGAGAGTGCATGACAATCAGGTGCAAATGATCACTGGAAACCTAGGCAGGCAGGTGCTGGCAAAAAATTGACAGGTTACAGGCTTCCCATTTTTGTGTTGGAGTTTTGGGGTCAAGGGGTGAATCCTTGTATGGGGGTTTAAAAGAAATAGATGAAAATAGCCCAAATTTAACTAATTTTTTTTATATGGAAGATCTCCAATTATAGGATATTAGGAATTGTAAAGCAGCTGATCAACACAGTTATTTAAGGATTCATCACATGGCAGAAGCCTAGTTTTTTTATACCTTGGGTTCAGATCAGTACTAGACTCAGAGGAAACATGACCCAATGCTTAGTTATAGGGTTTTGGTCTGGAGATCTTCAGATTCCTAGGATTGCTCCTAGACATACAGGGAGGCCAAGCCTATAGATGGAAGTCAAGTGGCCTTAGCTGTAAAGAGAGTAGAAACATAAAGGGAGGAAATTAGGAAGTGCCTTATCCAAACATTGTTGATTAACAAATGGATCCATATTAGCTTTGTGGAAAAACTCTTAATAATTTGTCTGAAACCTTTGTCCATGACCCTAACCTATTCAAATATTTTTATTATGGACTTGATTGAAAACAACGAAGATATGAAAATAAAATTTGTGGACAACAACAAAGCTGGGAAAAAGGGCTAATGTGTCAGACTCAATAGTCAAAAAGTTGAGTGTAGTTAAACCTGTATTTAGTTAGCAGCTCCTAGTGTGGCTTTTTCCAACTTCACAATAAAGTACTATGACAAGAGAAATTCTGAAAACTCACAATATGGTGTAGTGAGATCTTATACAAGGACCGCCCTGTTGTGAGTACTGTGGAGGAATTTCCATGAATTACAAGGCCAAGAGAAAGTAACTGAAGGAGGTGAGTGGCCAATCTCATGTGCTCATGTGGGAACCCAACCTCCTAGGTAGGGTTTCTCTCTCCTTTGCTTTCTGTCCCAAGCCCCAGAACAATTCCAACCAGAAATGCAGACCATTGCTGGTCTTTGGCTCTGTGTGTGTGTGTGTGTGTGCGTGTGTGTGTGTGGTAGAGTTCCATGTTTATCCTGTCCACATGGTGAGCCAGTTTTCTCCACACCATTTGCCAATTTGTGTTCTCCCTACTCAGTTTTGATACCAGCTCTCTCATAGATCAAGGTCCCAGGGTCTCTTACTGGACTCAATTCTGTTCCATTATTTTATTGTCTGTTCCCCAGCCATAACCAGATTGGTGAGTTTTATTTACTTTGGCTTTGTGCTATGTCTTAATGTGTGGTAGGGAATTTCCCTTCCCCATACTTTGTTGTTCTTTTTCATATTTTTTTCATGTAAGTGGAACAAATACCTCTAACTCCCAAATATTACTGGGTTTTGGGTGAGTATTGAATGAAAATCATAGATTAGTTTGGAGAATTAGAATCTTTTCAATGGTTGGATTTCTCCATGTGAGCATGCCTTATATTTCCATTTATTTTTTTACTCAAAGTGTGGTGTGTGGACCAGCTGCATAAGCCTCGCCAGGAAGAAGGTTTTGAAATGCCAACTCATGGGTCCTGTCCCCAAACTACTGAATCAGAATCTGCTTTTTCAACAAGATCCTAGGTGATTTGTATGTACACTAAAGTTGGAGAAGTACTATTTTAGTAGAATTTCAAATTTTTCTCCAAGATTTTGTGCCTATTTGTTAGGTTAACAACGTCAGAAGGGTATCCAGATACTTTGCTGAACTTGGTTAACAATCCTAGATAGTTTTTGAGCTTTTTGTAAATATATAAGTCATCTGTAAATAAGGATAACTGAGCATCCTCATTCTCTTCCCTTCCATCTTTATTTGTTTTAAATATTTTATTTATTTAAGCATTTTCTTTATTTTCCATCTGATTTATTTTATTGGCCAAGATGTCCAGTATCACATAGTAATTAAGGGTGAGAAAAGGTATCCTAGTTTTATGCTGAACCTTAAAGGAAATTCTTCTAATATTTCTTTAATAAATAGTACATTTGCTGCTGAGTTTTATGGATAGGCTCATAAGGTTATGGAAACTTTTCTACATTCCTAGTGTTCTGAACAACTTTACAAAAGTCCACAATTGATTTAAACACTTATTTTCTGCAACAGTAAGAGAAAATCATGTGATTTTCGTTCTTTGGCTCATTAAAGTGAATTATATTACTATGACTTCTGTCTTTGAGCCATCCTTTATTCCCGGAATAAATCATATACTATTATAATTTGCCCTTCAACACTCTCTCTTTCAGTAAACAATGTAAAAGAAAGCATGTAGCTCTTTATATTAATTAAATTACAGGAGTAAAAGTGCAACTGAAATGAATTTTGCTAAAAAAGTCTATTTTTATTCTCTGCTTCTTTGATCAAAAGAACATGGCCAAGGCAGACACATAAAACTTCTCAGGGAGATAAACTGTTCTTGTTTGTGACCGCACTAAATATTTGGGCTAAAGGAATGAATACAATTGTTGCACTTTCCCCATGGTTTTTGGTTCAATAGCCTAGATAAACTTTGAAACTGATCTATAGAGATGAGTGTCCTCAGCCATTTCTCACATGTGGCTCTTTCCATGGCATGACAGGACAGTGACTTTGAGGTCAAGTTCCTTCTTTGCTCTTTGTTTTGAAAGATAATGCTCCTAACTTCAATTTACCATCCCTGTGTAGGTGTGGCACAGAATACTCAGAATTTGATATACTGCACCTACATGATCTCTTTTCTATAGCTAAGACTTCTGATTAATAAAGCCCGATATGGTGCAAAAGCTACCCCATTTCTGATGTGTAACATGCTAGGTCAGGATTGTCTGTTTTCTTGAGGCAAAACAGCTGTCCAAGGCCCTAGGCCGTCAGGCGCCCTTGGGTTCCTCTCTGTTCACTCTTTATGATAACACTTTTTCTCGATTCCCAGTTTACGAGTGTCTGCTTTGAACAAGCGCTGTTAACCTCTCAAGAAGCCACTGGAAGCTCTTTCCAGAAAAACGAAAAGAAGAGAAGA